TAAAAATAGGTTTAATTTTTCATATCTTCATTAGAGCTAATTAAAAATAGAAACAGATAAAGAGCACAGATCCAGATATCCTAATAAAGATAATTATCCTAGAAAATTCTGCAATATTTCAGGGCAAAGTTTGAAACGGGATGTTATTTTAATTTGTAACTTGTATGGTATGCCATATTTTTTTATTATTTCACTGTATTTTAGTTTAGTTTTTCTTCTCAATCACATTCAACTATTACAACACTGAGATAAAAAATTAATTTGGAAAAAAAATTTTTTTTTCAATTTTTCAAGGATTCTTTTGATTTACAATTTCTACCAAATACTATCATGTTATCTCAGCTACCCCATTGCTAAGAACATCTGCACACAAAAAAAAAACCATTGCAAAAACCAAACTTTAGTTTAAACACACTCTGAAACACTGCTTACAGTGCATGGTTAGCTCACAGACTGAATTGGAATTAAACTGTCAATGATCCTTGATATTCTTTGAACTTTCAACGGTTTGTTGTGAAATCAGTTTTTGCTGTCATCAACCCAAAAATAATCATTTACATTTTGAGGAGCATGTAGACCGCCTTCCATATGGCTTCCTACACAATGTCAAAACTTCACCAAACTCTAAACAATTATTCAAATTTGATATGCCTATATCAAGTATATTGTGTATTCATACCTATCTTATAAACAGATGTGGGAATAACCATAATCATGTAGATACAGTATCATTATTTATATTTTACTCCGTTATCATGATCAAACCCTCAAGCATAAACTATATAACCAGACTTTACAACCTTTTCTAGGAAAAATAAAAAATAAAACAGAAAATGTCTTATAACTCTAGACAATGGACAAAGAATAGAGTCAAAATCAAAAGACAAAACACTGCTTTTAAATCAAAACAAACATAACCAAAACAAAATATTAAGACTAAAACATATGAAATGTAAAAATAAAAATAAAAAAATTCTTCAATTAAATGTTTTTTATTAAAAACACACATTAATAATTAAGCATGAAGGTTTTGATTATCAGTTAGGAATCTAAAAAATAGGGCTCTACCAAGAATTTTAAAATTTAATACCAAAAAAACCAATGATTTTTTAATGGCCTTATTAGTTCTTATTGACAATAAAAATGTCAAGAGTCACTCATCAGTAAATCAGCACATTCTATCAGATAAAACATATTTCCATAGCAATTTCTAACAACAAAATATACTAAGACGATGTCTTTAACCTTGATGATTGCTTTTCAGGGTCGGTATCCCTAACTCTCATAATATCAACAGTACCAGTTGCTAATCACGGTAACACCAATATTATAATATCATGAGCAAATATATTGCAATATTTCATGGATATTGTCATAAAAATGAGCCTGAAATAATTGTAAACTATATTGTAGATAACAAAAAATGCAAATATCAAAGTTATTGATGGTCATATTTTCTTCAGGCTAATGTCATCAATTGAAACGAAGTTTTGATAATATTTTTTTTTTGTGACAGATAAAATATTTAAAAATTATATTTAGAATATTTTTGTAAATAAAATAATAATTTATGGGTAATTTGTTCAATGTTAAGAGCCATAATGACCTTCTTTTACAACTGCTAATGACAATTCAATTCTAAAAAAAAACTTTAGGTTAGTTAACTTGTATTATATGTATCACAATAAAGAATTTGTTTTTTGGCTAAATATTTCATTTTAAGCATGACTGACAAAGATTTACCACATCATGCCCTAACAATGCTAAACTGATTTATCTTCTGTACTGTATTATAAGGTGTGTATTGTTGGCCTAAACTTTGCCTATAGATGATGCTATTTCAACTATAAATAAATTTTAAAACTAATTCTGCTCAATAAAGGCTGGGTGTCATGATGCAGGGAAGCTAGATCAACAATGCAACATTTTTACATTTCTTTACAGTCTAAAGAAAATCCCTATTGTTTCCACCATAACATAGCTGCATGAAACCACTTCTATTTTAACCTGTCCTCCTTATTCATACTATTTGTAGTTTGCATAACAGAAAGTGTCTCCAAACATATCTGCAAAAAACTTGATGACTACTCAATTTGACATGAGGATCACAAGCTTCTCAGACCTGTTAATGTAACTTATATTATATCAAGTTAATATTACCCTCTTAAGTTGTCATTCACGGTATCATCATCTCAATTTATAGAACTACTAATGCACATTACATTTCTCAGGGGTGGAAAGGGATATTCATAAACATACATTAAAACTTTTGTAGTCATTTATGATGAGAAAAAAATTTAAAATCATTATTTCCCATGATTTGAGATTCTAGCATCGTTCTAAAATTGATGAATCTTGAATATTGTTAATATTGATTTCTTTGAACCATTGTTCTTTTTTTTTCTTAATCGTTGCTAACTGTGTGGAGAACCTCTATGTCAGTCTACTGATTGCTATATCTGTATGCTTTATTTCCTTCTACAATGCATATAGGAAAATAAAAACAGGAAGTAACAAGAATAAAATTAGTATGTCTAGAGCAAAGAAGTCAAATGAAAAACATATGTAACTGATATGTTCCAAATTGTGGGCCTTCGATATCAGAGCAAAAAAGAAAAAAAGCAACATTAGCCAAAACCAAGGTATATAGATAGAATACACAGTTCATAATTAGTATGCAATAAATAAACACAACTTGGAAGATTGAGCCAAAAAAAATCTCAAATTTAACCACAATGATAACTGTGAAAACTAGCAAAATCATGGGTAGTACATTTAATTCTGATAAATTTCGGCCAGGATATTTTGAGTTACGTCGACATCTGCTCAACCTTAAAATTATTGTACCATCCCACATAGGATAACAAAATTTTAGAAAATTCTATAACACACAATACCATATATTATGCTATTAAAAGAAAATGCCGATGGATTAATATATATACAATATCTAGAATGGTGTTGTTATTCATAAGTCTCATAAGGTGAGATTTTAAAAAAAAAATGCCCCAGGTGCCAATGACAGAAATAATTAATTGCCATGCTACAGATCTAGACCCCAACATGACAAAACAAGAATGCAAACATGTACAACCTTATAGATATTGTTTTGTACTAAGCTCAGACCCTTTGACCAGTCTAGGTAAACATCTCCCAAAAATGCAATAAGCTTGATTGTCACTGACTCTAAATACATAGAAATTAAGCATTTATCTTCTTTTTTGAGTGATGTTAAGCAGGCTTTTTGACCAGGGTCTGGTTAGCAAACACAAGTTAAGAGTTATAGTAAGGGCTTTGAAAGAAAAAGTTGTTATGTCAACAATTTTGGAGTGTAATGCAAGCAAATTTACATATCTCTAACACCTAACAATTCTTATTCAAATGACACTTGACTATGCAAGGGCCATACTATCATGAATAATAATTAACACACAGTATGTTATAGTTGGCATCACCAATGTAGGTTCCAAAACATAGATTAATTTGAATTACTATCTTAAAAGAGGATTTAAAAAATTGGAGCATTTTCAAAATTAGGTCTTTAAGAACATTAGCAAAGTATTAATTTATTTTCACAAAATTCATTCAATAAATGTATTCCTATTTGTACAGAAAAAAATAATAACATCTTTATAGATTTTTTATTTATTTTGAGGTGTTTGGGATCTTTATATGAAACTTTATGGTATTTCTGATGCTAAAGATCTGCATGCTGCAGGGACAGGTTTTTGACAACTAAAAATTTTTAAAACATGCTACAAATGACAAGTTGGTCAAATTCATTGAGTCATTTTAGAACCTGGAGTTAGACATACCACAGTTCTGATATCTATTTACCTAATTCAAATCTAGCTGTCATCTAGGTAAGATTGTACTAGTGACAAAACACTAAAACAGCATCAAAAATATCCTCTTTCGTAAATGTGTTTGTATTTACAGTTTTTTCGAGGTAGGGGAATTTATTTTTTTAGATTCTGTGAATTCTTTAGATTGGAATAATAAAAAAAGATCGACACAAAAAATAAAGAAATAAAAATGTTTACATTTGACGTTTAGGGCACAAGACTCCGATTCTAATAATATATTCACTGTCGTTTTTAAAATTCCTGCTTAAGGGACTTGCAATAAATAATTCAGGGTACTCTGGATTTAACTGCTGGATAGAAAAGGCAATTGGGAATCGAAAATGATAATAGCTAAAGATAAATTATCTGAACCAATGGAATAATTTCAAACCGTTTCCAGAATTACATGAGAGATTACAGCTGCAGAATCATACGATTTTACAAAGGAACAATTTCCTTAGGAACAATGAATATGAAAATTGTTTGCAAGTCCTAACAAAAAGAATCAATAAATAATTAAAACTCAAACTTTGAATACATTCTGTTTAACTTAAAATGGAAAAATGCGACGTGCTCTATCCAAATTAAACGAAGGAGGAAAAGGACATTGAAATGAGCCTTAATTGAAAATCTATTTCCAAATTATCTTACTCTAAAACACAAAAAATCTTAGCGAAGTTTTTAGTGAATCACATAAAAATAAAATTCAATCCTGCAAACCGCATTAAATATTATACACACACATAAGTCATTTTCTTCATTTGTAATTCAAATGACGGGTCATTGTAAGACGTTGGTGTTTTTACGAATTTGATGAGTTGAGTTTTTGTAAAAGGTACATAATTTGCAATGTAGGAAGCATTTGAGTGAAAATAAAAGAAACCGACAAAGGAATCCCACTTCAAATTTCTTGAAATTCCAAAAAGCAAAGGTTTTTTCCCTAGCAATCAGAAGTCTACGGAGGTGCAATACAATAAACGTATCAATGGATGAGAAATTCATTTATAAAAACTCGACTGTTGGCCATTTCCATCAATCGATTGAATGAACCGATATATTATTATTAGTATACATTTTGACGAGTTTTTCTCTCAAATCTATCGTCGTATTGCGTTAGTAGCAAATTGTACAGAACAATTAGATAAAGATTCTTACCTTTGGCATTCGAGCCGATCTACCTGTCCTAATGTCACGAATGAAAGTTAGCTCCAAAAAATCTGTCTCCTATGGAAAAAGACATTCAAATAAAATGAACACCCGAAAGAGAACGTCTTCCTCCATAATAATACCGGCATAAAAAAGTTAATGCGCTGAAAACAAAATAGCGTTTCTGACAAGAATAAGGAATAGATAAAAACACAGCTGCCCTATTCCTGGAGATTAAGAAGAGAGCTAGTTTCACTAGTAAACAAGTAGTACAATTATTAAGTACGCGCTCGGGAAGTAAGGTTGCCCCGAGTGTACATGTGCTCAAAGAAAACAGTTCTTTCACGGAGATTTGCGATTTGTTATACCCAATACTAAGGCTTACTTTGTCTTCGGCTTTCCAATAGATTAAGTGACCAGCTTGATCTACTTTCACAACACATTTTTGGCCGGTTGTAGAGTCCTGGRAGAAACAAAACATTCAAACTTACACTTTTAGGGGATCTGTTTAGGCAAAGCGAACACGATAAAATTGAGGGCTGGCCTGGCCGTCGTAAAGCCAAACGTCAGCATATCGGAAAACGGCCTTTCAACAATCAACCCGAGAGAAATCTTAAACAATGACTTGAGATAGTGAGGTTATTTGAAGAGAACTGTACAAATGCTTTTAAGTTAGAAACCCGGGATACATCCTTGTGACCCAAAACAAAGATAGCTCCACGAAGACCTTGCTCTAACATGTGCAGTAAATTCGAAAGGTTTAAAGCGATCGAATACTTACATCATCCCATTTTATAAATGTGGATCCTCTGGTCAAACATTCGGCAACCTCTGGCGGCCTTAGCTTCTCGAAGTACACTTCTCCGCCCGCCATATTACGGACTGTGTGTGAGCTAAGGTCTAGCAGTTAGTTGCCTCGTTCAAATAGGCATCCCTTGTGTATATATCCCGAGGTAGAGCGCGCCTTCTGATTGGCTCAAACCTGGCAGGGTAGGAATTCGTACATATGTATGTATGACACAAAATATAAACCCCTTACGGAAAATTGGCGAACGAACAGCCAGTTGAAATTATTAGTATTATTCTCTTTAACAGAAGACTGCAGTCTTAACCTCAAAGCGAAAATTTACATGCCTAAAAATATCTATTTGTGATTACTATAGCAATGTAATATCGAAGCCACTGTTGACATTATTAAGAATTTTTTAACGCGGAAAAAAGGAATTCTTATATCGTATTAAGAAGATTAGGAATTACTATCGAAAAAATCGGTATATTTTATAGACTCTCATAGAATACAGACTCCACTGAGCGTTATAATATTGAACTCGTTCCCACGCCGAAAAAAAAAACAATGTAAACAAAAAATCTTATTTTGATATGTTTGGGGTAGTACTTGAATTGAAAAGGGCCCGATTTAATTTCCTTGAATATATGAGAACAAAGTCCTGATAATTTCTATGATGGCTGGCGGTGGGCGAACTGATAGCGATTCTAACAAACTGTGGGTAAAATAAAGCGGCCTTTCAAACGGGTRCAACTTATGAATAACTCAGTATTCCAAATAATTATAACTATGAGTGGGATGAACTTAAAATAAGATGCCAACCTCGTTTATATCCATATACATTTTACATATATTTTAACTTTTCATGTTTTTTTTTTTGTTCCATGTTTTTGCATAAAAATGAAGTCAATCAACTTGAGAACTGCCGGAATATGCCTGAGGAAAAAAAAAACAGATTAAAAATTATCTGATATATTTTGCCAAATATACTCTTTCACTGCAAGTGGGAAAAAATTCCGGCTAGAGTATTTAAACGCACTACAGTTGCGAAGGGACGCGTAATCTTTGGGAAAATGCATTGTTGTTCATAATTTTAAGGTGTTTGTCAATAAGTCTAGTCATYGTTCAATGAAAAAGAAAGACCTCAAAGACTGCTGTCGAGTTTCGAGAATTATCTACTGCTTAAAATAAGAAAATGGAAAATTTCCACACCTGTATGGAGATAGCGACTATTATCACCAAGCCTACAAACGTTTTTTGTGCATTTTTTTGATAAAGAACGCTTTAAGTGTGTCTTGAATAAGTGACAAGATCGAAAAACGTTAATTTTGTAATCTAGGCTTTTATGCATAATTTCTAAAAAAAGAACTTTAGTATTTCGGCAGGCGATCAGAACCGCAAATAAGAATACTATATGCCACAACATTATCGAGATATACCTGGTAACATAAGTACTGAATTGAAAACTCAAATTACCAAAATATTCCAGCTACAACAAAAACAGCCAGTTATGTGTAAGAACCTGGTTAGGCCAATTAGACCGAACGGCTAAAACAACGACCAAAAACCCACGAACATAACCACATATGGAAATTGAGAGCAGAATGCACACTTAAATGTAAAAAAAAGGCGAATTTTTTGAAACAGTTAGTCGATTAGTGAATATATAAACAATTTTACGGATATATGCTTTGCACTCTTACACGTCTGTCTGTCTGTCTGTATGGTTTTTTTTCCTGCCCTGTTCCTTGTCATTCTCCTTTATGCCCGCCTTCTCTAGCCTACGAACCTAATGGTTTGTGTTTGAGGATACACGTAGGCTAGTCTTTTTATACCTTTTCCTAATTTCTTTCTTTCTTATATATATATATTTTCTATTTCCCTTGCATTCTTTCTCACTTCCTTTTTCTCTCTTTTCATGAAGTCGATATTATTTATTCTTTTTTTTAAATTATTCATTTGATTATTATCAAGTTGTTTATTTATTATTGTTTTTATTATTGTTTCATTAGGTATTATTTATAGATTTCCACGCCAATTTCCTGGTCATATACATTACTTCTGTTCGTTAGCATCGTTTGTTTAAATGACATGACTCAAAGGCTTTTAAGACAACTTTACGGTTCATAAAGTTGTTTTCGGCATGTCACAACACCTGAMTATCACTGGTAAAAAACTAAAGTTCTCTTAGTTATGGAATCAATGAAACTTGGACATTTTAGGGTCTGTGTCTTTCAAAAGTAATTACGCAGTAATTGGCTCCCATCCAAACCATCTGCCTTTTAATTCTTCACCAATAACGCCTTTCTCATTTGAAAAAATGAATAAGATAGATGCCCCAAAGTTAATAACCTGCTAACTTAAAGACCCAGTTAGTGTTCGGATGCACCAGGCAACAAAGTTAAAAGAGTTGCCAATCAAAAATAAAACTCCCTCTAAATTTGAATTTTTATTTCAAAATTAATGAAAGAAAAGGAGACGACTAGACGTTGGAACAGAAGGTCCAATCAGAAGCCTTCTGGCTGCGGTACCTCAATTGCCCCATCACTAACCGCCCTCATAAGGAAGCGCTTACTTCCACGTGGGAGTGCCCTAGTACAAAAATTGATGGGATACCAACATTTATGCAGACAGGGGCTCTCACTTAAACCTATTCAAATTGGTTATTGCTTACAACTAATATCTGCTAAAACCGGACGGTGCTTCTGGCGAGTTGGGAAAAATCAGTGGCGTTAAAATGGCTCCCTAGCCAGCGTAGCGTAGCAAAAACAAAAAGAAACAAACAAACAAAACAAAAAAACAAACAAACAAAAAAAACACACACACACACACACAAACAAAAAACAAAAGAACGCCACGCAGGCTAAGGCCTCCCCTTTCCCTCCCCAGGCCCATCAAAAGCATGGCTACGAAGGCTAGGTAGATGTGTATCCAAAGCATACAACAGAGACATCTACAACAGAGCTACTCTTAATTACTAATGATTTACTGTAATATAGTCCCCTTCACATTTCCTTGCGCCATCTTGAAAGGTAGCCGTGCCTTTGCATCGAAGCGAGACAAACGGGGAGCTTGCAATGATAGAGACATGTGAATAATTGTCCAAGGTGTTAGAAAAGGTCTCTATCATTGCATGCTCACCGTTTGTCTCGCTTCGATGCAAAGGCATGGCTACCTTTCAAGATGGCGCCGTGTACTGTGAAGGGGACTATTTGCTTGGTTAAAGAGATTTACAATGCTACAGCGAGAGAAAAGATAAAATTTAGCTTCAGAATATCAATCTCTCGATACATCCAGCATTTCCCCCCCTCTCATTCGCACTGGAGAAAACGCGATTTTAGATTTTGTTGCAGCTAGGAATTGAGGCGTGTATCATTACCACTGCATGGTATCCGTGCACAAATTTCAAAAAGTTAAAGAAAATAGTTTAAACACCTTAAACTTTTTGTAACTTTTTTGTTGTTGCGACATAGTGTTGCCACTGTATCGTAACATGGCGTTGCAAACGCGGTAGCCATTCCTTCGCTCAAAAACTTTAATACTACTTTGGTAGAGATAAAAAATAATTTTGGGAATAAGCCGTAATGTGACTTCTTACAAGCCTACATACTTCGGGCCATTTTTCCCGTCGTCATTCCTGACATGCGCGGTAAAACCTCCCATCGACATTCGCTCGAACATTGCTAGTGAATTCGAAAAATAAATGTAAAATTTGATATTTGTTTGGCCGCCATTGAAGACGGTCTCTAACTAAGTCTTAAGTAGTTCATCGTATCAGTAAAAAAACAAAAAACAAAAAACAAAACAAAAACAAATTAAAACAAAACAAAACAAAACAAAACAAACAAAAAAAACACCAACCGACCCCAATTATTTTTCTCATGCAACAGGAAACACGCTTTTATTTTTTTGTTTGGCCTAAGTAAAAACTGATTTTCGAAGACCTAGCCTAAAAGCCTCCTAATCAAAACATTATCCTATCAAAAAATTTAACTTGACCGTAGCATTTGAAAGATTTTATCCGCCCTGGGCAGGAGAAAACAGAGTGTTTTAATTAATACTTAATGAGGTGCCGCCCCAGACGAGCCTAATTTTAGGTAAGTACTCCATCAAAAGTTAACTAATTACTTCGGCTTAGACCAATTTCGTTATGAATCATAATTAACCCGAACATGGTGTCGCAGTAAGGACTCATCATCATCACGTATTTGAACAGCTACAAAGCTAAGACCAGAAAGGATTATATGGGTAGATATATTTTACATTTTTTTCGTTTTCATTTTTTATTGATGGACTTGGCATCTTTTACCAGTTACAGTCCATGTCCTATGAGCATCCTCAAGCTGCAGTTTGTATAAATACTTTCACTTGTTCGATATGAAATGTTTTCCACAATCCCCAGAGATCGCAGCTTTCTAGGTTTTTAGGTGACTAACGTTATTGGTATTTAAGTATACATATATCGAACCCTTATTTAACGGACATCCTTTAATGAGCGGATAATAGCTCAGGTCCCAAAATTTTCTTCACATATTTATCGTAAAAAGAACCTCTATTTCGCGGACGCGGACACTAAAATACAAGCCTATTAGGTAATTCCTATTGTAAGAACTTTTGTTAAACGGATGGCACCTACCATGTACTCTTCATTTAAAATAAGATGAGTTAATGACAAACATTTGTCTGCGCAAATGACAAACATTTGTCTGCGCAGTCCTCTTATTGCACAGAAATCATTACTACACTATATTTTACACATCTGATTATAGTTCAAAATTCACGAGTCAAACTTATTTACCATCTCTACCAGGCCCGTCGCTAGGGGTGGTTCGATGTTTCGATGGTTCGAATGAACCCCACCACCCCCAACCCCTCTCCCCCTATACACAATAATATGTTTATCACTAATGACATAAATAAGATTGCTGATTATTATTGCTGATCAAGTCTTGCTATAGACAAAAAGACCTTCCTTTTCAAGGTCCAAACGATGGGTATGTGTATGCTAGTAAATGACTCTATTTCCTTAAAAAGCCAAAGCCAATACGGTTGTCATAGAAAAGTCTCGTCACCATTAACAGTCTATTATCTAGTAATCTTCTTTTGTAACTAATTGTTTTSAAAATTACCATTAAAAGCAAGTCATGTCTGAGACT